CAATTCCAAATAAAGAAAATGTTCCTAAATCATCTGCAACATTAAGATAACTACCATCAGGTGAAAACCTTAAGTCTGTTAGTAACAAACTTCTCAAATCTTTATCATGATAATCGTCTCTTGTAAAGAAAAGAATTGGGTGAAGTCCATTAGTTAAATCCCAAATAATTGTTTGTCCATCTTCAGCACAAGTAGCAAAAATATTTGCTCTTTTTGGATGTAATTCAATACATTTAATTTTATTAGTATGTTTTCCTTTACACTCAGAAAAGAAACTGAATTTGTCATCATTTTTATAAACTCTAATTGTCCCTTCTGAGAACCCAATAATAATATATTTAAGGTCATTAGTAATTTTGGAAGTTTCAATTCGTTCTTTAATTTCTCCACCATTAAATTCAAGAACGTAACAATTATTTGTCATATTCTTTTGTTGTTTGAGGTATAAAATTTTGACATTCTCTGTAAAGTCACAAATCACTAATTTTTGAGATGAGCCACAAATAAATAAGTCTTTATCTCTTACTTTGTTTACAAAAGTCATACTGTCTTTTGATTTATATAATGCATTTACTCGTTCTGGAACAGGGTCTTTAAATGAAAATAAAATAATGTCTCCACAAGTTGAAGTAAACATATCTCCTGAAGTATTGAAACACCCATAATCGAATGTTTTTTTGGTTTCCCAAAAACAGTCTATAGATGCTAAAAACTCAAGAGTTGGTGTGAATACATGCCCTAAATTATCTTTTTCCATTACGATAAATCCATAAGTCTTAGGGAAAAAATTTACCATTGTTGTTTTCTTATGAGAAACAAAAAAAGTTTTTTCAATCTTTTTGTTCTCTAAATCCCATATAATACACCTTCCATCAGCCCCACAACTTGCCAAATATTTGTGGTCAAATGAAATATCAATATCTTCTACTCCTTTTGAATGTCCTCTTAATGTTGCAATTAAATGACCATCAATAAGATTCCATAACTTGATTAGTCCATCTTCAGACGCAGTAATCATCATTTCTCGGTCCATATCAAATAGTTGTTGAGTAATTTTTTTTGTATGTCCAATCATATTAATTAACTAAATTGTTAACACTTCTTTCTTTAACCAATTATTCTACAAACCTCATAAAAATCCAATGTTTGAAATGAAAGCACTTCTGTTTCCTTGAACTCTTGTCCAATTTGTCGTGAAATAAGTGAGCTCAAATAATATTGTATATTGGAAACAGGTTTTGGTTCGACACTCAATAACATATCTGGAACTTCACCACATAACGAAACTAATTGTTTTTCAGAGATATCTGGGTAAATCTTTCTCTAGACAAGTTAATTCCATCTTCGTTACCTAAGGGCATACGTTTAACTAAACCAAATTATCAAGGAAAGAAAACAAACAAATATATCATACCCTTTTAAGGTTGTAGTTAGAGTAGATGTTTGAGGTAATGCATTTTGTAAAGATTGTTTTAGTTGTTCAAAAAGGTCTGGAGAGAGGTGTGATTCCAAATATCGGAGTATGAGAAAATTTAATACTACTTTATTAGAAATGTCACATCATTCACAAAAAAAAACAAACCCCGTTCTTTTTTGCTCATGATGATTAATAAAAACAAAAAAAATGAGATCTTTTAAACTCTCTGGTTTAAAGTTTTTGTGGTTTTTGTTTTTTTTTCTTTTATTAAAACCCAAAATTTTACTTTGATAGAAATAACAAAAATTTCCATTAGTAAAATTGTTTTATTAATTAATCAATTGGTTTTACTTCAGGTGGTCCATATGGATTTATTTGACTAATATATGTCATGAACCATAAAAGCCATGTACAAATACCAGCAACAACACACGTAGTAATTCCTAGTCTATATTAAATGAATACAAATTATTAATCTAATGAATAAATAAAAGAAACAAACGGTTTATCTTTCATTCTACATATAAACACTAATGAGCATGCAATAAGTGTACAAACAATATAAATACCTGTTCCAACTGCTGCTGCAATCCAAGGACTAACCATCAATTTGATTATTTTCAGTGATTGAAGTCTTTTTTTTTTATGAACTTCAAGTTTTTGTTTTTGATTTTTAGTTGTTATTTCATGATTTCTTTAATTTTGATTATAAATATGTAAATTATAACTTAGGTATAATAATTGAATTATATAGGAAAAAATAACAAATGAAAAGAAATGGAAAACAAATTTTGAAATATTTGTTACAAAAACATAAAAAATAAAAAACATAAAAATAAATGAAAAACGAAGGAAAAAGAAAATGAAGAAGATGAAAATATCTCAAAAAAGGAAGAACTAAAAAATTAAATTAAAGAAAAATCAAAATGTCAAGTTGGCTTACTTCTATTAAGAAAACAGTTTATGGGCTAACTGATGCACAAGTGTTTTTAAAAGATGCAACAAACAATGATCAATGGGGACCAACTACAAAACAATATCAACAAATCATTCAATATACATATCATTAGTTTGTTATTAATTTAAAAGTCTTAAATAAAATTACAATATAATAATATAATATAGTCAAGAATGCCGTGAAATTATGGACTTTTTATATAAAAGATTAAGTGAAGATGGTAAAAATTGGAGAGAAATTTATAAATCATTATTAGTTCTTGATAATATTTTAAAGAATGGATCAGAAGAAGCAGTTAATATTGCATTAGGAAGAATTGTTGAAGTTAAAACATTACAAAGTTTCCAAAAAATTGATGAAGATGGAAAAGATGTTGGAATTAATATTCGTGAACGATCTAAACAAATTGTTGAATTATTAACTGATAATGATTATCTTAAACAAGCAAGAATCACTGCTAAAAATCAAAAAAAAGATTATGGAGGAATTGGAAATTATGGAGGAATGAGTTCATCTTCATATGGTAACTATTCAAGTAATACAACATCTTTTAGTAGTGATGATTTTAATTCATTTAATAAACCTACTTCTACATATGGAGGTTATCATGATGAACCACAACCTACTACTTCTACTACTTATTCTAATAATTCACAACCTACTTATGGAAGACCAGGAACATATAAAGATAATGTTGTTGAACAAAAACAAATTCAAAGAGATCCTTCTCCTGTTTCACAAGTTATAAATAATCAATCTACTAATCCTCAACCAAATTTGTTTGATTTTGATTCAACTCCTTCTCAATCTTCACAACAAAAACCTTTACAAACAAATACTAATTTATTCGACATGATGAATACAAATCAATCAACTCAACAACAACCAATTCAACAACCATCAAATTCAGCTGACTTATTCTGGTCAAATCAACAACAATCAATCCCTCAACAACAACAATCAACATCAAATTCTTTATTTGATTTTGGAACAACTCAAACTAAACAACAACCAAATACAATGGATTTATTTGCTGGATTATCAGCTCCAAATCAACCAAATCAACAACAAAATTCCGTAGATATATTTAGTTCAATGAATACTCCTTCCCAACAAACAAGTACACCACAAACAAATTCTAATACATTTGATTTTGGAGATTTTTCATCAGCTCAAGTACAAGAAAAAAAACAAAGTGATTGGAGAGCTAATATAAAGATTGATTCCATTCAAGATACTCGAAAGCAACAACCAGCTTCTCAACAAAAACAAACACTTGGTCAATTCCTTTAATTGATAATTTTTTAAAGAATAAATTTATTAAAAAAAATTATAAATAAAAATTTTAAGAAATCAATTGAAACTAAAATTACCAATACTTCTTCTTTGAAGAAGTGTTTCTGCATACATATTATATCTTTGAATTTCAATATCAGAAACTGATCTTCTTGCATCTCTTAAAGCAGCATTAAAATGTTTAACTTTAATCATTGGTTTAACTTCAATTTCCATTTTTTGACCTTCTGGTTGTATTGTTTTTTCTGCTTCAACAACAGCTAATTCATTGATAGTATCTCTAATAGCTTCTTTACAAGCTCTTTGAACAATTTCTGCTAAATCAGCTCCAGAGAAATTTTCAGTATGTTCAGCAATCCAATCTAAATCAACATCTGGTGCAACAGGTGAATTTCTTAATTTAGCTCGTAAAATTGATACTCTTGATGCTTTATCAGGTAATGGAATAAATAATAATTGATCAAGTCGTCCTGGTCTTAATAATGCTGGATCTAAAATATCAGGTCTATTAGTAGCTCCAATAATAAATACTTGTTTTTTCTTTCCAATTCCATCCATTTCAGTTAATAATTGATTTAAAATTCTATCTGCAGATCCTCCAGCATCTCCAACTCCTCCTCCTCTTGCTTTTCCAATAGAATCTAATTCATCAAAAAATAATACACATGGTGCTGCTTGTCTGGCTTTATCAAAAACATCACGAACATTAGCTTCTGATTCACCATACCACATTGTTAGTAATTCTGGTCCTTTAATTGAAATAAAATTAGCTTTACATTGTGAAGCAACTGCTTTAGCAAGAAGTGTTTTACCACATCCTGGTGGTCCAAAGAAAAGAACTCCTTTTGATGGTTCCATTCCAAACTTTCTAAATTTATCAGGAAATTCAACAGGATATTGAACAACTTCTTTTAACTCTCGTTTAACTTCTTCAAGTCCTCCAATATCTTCCCATTTTATATTTGGCATTTCAACAACTGTTTCTCTTAATGCTGATGGTGTACATGTTTTCATTACATTTCTAAAATGTTCCATTGTAACTTTCATTCCATTTAATACTTCAACTGGAATTGAATCTGCTTCAACATCAACATGTGCCATATTTTCTCTAATACATAACATAGCAGCTTCAGTACATAATTGTGCAAGATCTGCTCCAACATATCCATGTGTTTCTTTAGCAATTTGAAGTAAATCAACATCATCTGCAATTTTCATTTTTTTAGTATGGATATTAAGAATTTCAAGTCTTCCTGTTTCATCTGGAACTCCAATATCTATTTCTCTATCAAATCTACCAAATCTTCTTAATGCTGAATCAATAGCATTTGGTCGATTAGTAGCTGCCATAACAATAACATTTGATCTACTTTTCATACCATCCATAAGTGTTAATAATTGTGCAACAACTCTTCTCTCAACTTCTCCTTGTGCTTTATCTCTTTTTGGTGCAATAGAATCAATTTCATCAATAAAAATAAGTGCTGGTGCATTTTTTTCTGCTTCTGCAAATGCTTCTCTTAAATTACCTTCTGATTCTCCTGCCATTTTACTCATAATCTCTGGTCCATTAATTAATATTAAGAAAACTCCTGTTTCATTAGCAACAGCTCGTGCAATCATTGTTTTACCACATCCTGGTGGTCCATATAATAATACTCCTTTTGGTGGTTTAATACCAATAGCTTGGAATAATTGTGGATGTCTTAATGGTAATTCTACCATTTCTCGAATTTGTCCAAGTTGTCTTCTACATCCTCCAATATCATCATATCCAATATCATCTGGTCGTTCTTCATCTTCTCTTTTAATTGCTTCTCCTTCACAATGAATAATAGTATCATTTACAACAAGTGCATATGGTGATGGATCAATATCAACAACTTTGAATTCAACTGTTCTCATACCTCCATGACACAAAAAATGATCTCCTTTCTTAACAGGTCTAAAAACATCACTAAAATATGGTCGAATATATGTTTCAAATAAATCTCCAGTAATTCCTTCTACTGTATCATCAATTGGTAATACATGAATTTTAATAGCATAAGGAACATTTTGTGCAGTTTCAACTCCAACAACATCACCTAATTTAACTTTTAAATTATATCTAGTCATTCGATGAAGTCGAATCATATTTTCTGTTAATCCTTCTTCTGCCATAACAATACAAATAGTACTTTTTCTTCTTTTTCCTTTAATCAAAATACTATCCCCTTCAAAAAAATTTAATTCTTCCATTCTTTGTGGATTCATATACACAATTGACATATCATCTTCTTTACTTTCTTCTACAATAAGACGGTGTTTTTTGACAATTATCTTTTTTGGTTCTTCTTCATTCATTGGAACTTCTGGTTTTTCTTCATTCATTGGGACTTGAACTTGTTCTTCTTGAGCCATAACTATTTGATTCTTTTCTTCAAAACTTCAGAACTTTTTATCTTTTCTCTTGAGGTTTTATTTTTCTTTTGTCTTTTTTTAAGGGTTTCATCAGGTTTTCTTAAAATCGATGATTACTTAAAAGACTCATTAAAAATAGAATGGATAGACAAGAACTTCAAATCACTAATGAGGAAGAGTCTTAACAATAAAAACACTCCTCTCGTATATCAGGATGCAAACGGTGATACTCAAATAATTACTTTAGAACAACTCAGTAAGGATGAATCAATCCACTTTGGAGATACTGTCATTTCTACTCAACCATCCTTTGAGGTATCTGGAGGAAGTCAAGTCTTTAAAAGTGCAAAAGAAAACGTTGAAAGTGTAGAAAGAAAAATGCAAGTCCTTTACAACTTACAACATGAAAGAGGGAAAAGTGACACAACATCTGATCAAACACAACAAAAAGTTAAAATTAACTCTCCTTTTCAACACGCAACTCTAAAACCAAAATTTAACTTCTTTGAACGAGCTGAAGAAGAAAGGAAAAGTAAGTCATCAGTTTCAACTTCAGGGAGTTCATTAAATTCGACATTACATATTCCTACAGAAAAGCCAGAAGAAGTTATTATTAATCAACAAAGTGGAATGAAAAAAAATGTGCTAGGAACAGATAGTACAAATGAAAATACAGAACAATTATTTCATACATTAGAGATGCTTGAAGACAAAGGCCTTGCTGATAGACAAACATCCAGTAAATTTAGTTCGTTAAAAGATCTTGTTGAAAAGAAAACATCAAGAGATGTTTCTGGAGTTGAAAAAAGTAACATTGAGATGATGAACACAGTTTTATTTGAGTGGGTTGAGGTTCTCCAACAGATCCTTGATACTCCAGTACAGCCAAGCGCAAAAGTTGATAAAGTAGATTTATTAATTTTCTTTACTGAGTTAAGAAGATTCTGTTTGGATATAATCAACTGGATTGATACAAATAAGTGATTTTTTGTTGGTGTTATTTTTCTATATTCACAGATAAATGTTTAAATCATTTCTTTTTTTTTATTTCTTTGTACTTATTATTAAATGAGTGGAGAGGAAATTGCTATAAACCAACCACCACAAAATAATTATAATAATTACAACAAATCATATCTGAATAAATATCTCAAATGGAGGAATGTCAAAAAGAAAAGAAGGATAAAAGCAATATTTAACAATAGCACAATGATGTGTATGAATATTACTGATGGAAAATAGTATATTTTCTTTGAAATGTTTAAGAAAACAAGAAATAGATGAGATAAAATATATATTAAATAAAATGATAAAAGAATGGGATTATATTTGATAAATCAAAAGAATAATATACTCAAATAGAAAAGAAGATTATTATTTAGAAATGAAATTAATAGTATGTATATAAACAATATTCATTTAAAGATAAAAATATATAAATATAAAAGAAAGAAGATAGAAAAGAAGAAAAAGTAGAAGATATATTAGAAAGTTGTTTGAGAAATAAAAGAAATATTATGATAAAGATAAAACAAATAAAAAAGAAACAAATATGAAAAAAAGAATACAAAAAAGAAGAAAATATAAAAGAAAAATAAGTAATAAGAATACACAAGAATAGGTAAATGAAAATAAAATACAATAATAAAAGAAATGAAAGACATTATTAATACTTTTATTCATAATAAGATAATAAAATAAATAATAGATTTAATAAACAAATAATATTAAATGATGAAAGAATGAAAAAAATATAGGAAATACATAAATAAATATTTAAATAAATATAATGAGATATGTAAAAATGCCATGCTGAATTAAATTTAATTCATCAACAAACAACTCATTTTAATAATAATAAATTCACATACTTAACTGATGAAATCAAATTAAATAACGAAAAATAGAAAATAAAATAATAGAGAATGATATTAAAACACAATAAATAGTGATAAAATAGATACACTGAAG